TTTTTTTTTTTTTTTTTTTTTTTTTTTTTTTTCCTTGCCCTCCCTACCCCGACAAGCAGGCAGTTGCTCTCACAAATACACACTTAATTTGTGAGTGCAATTTCTGTGAAGCAATGTGCTGATTTCAGTATGTGCACAGTCACTTACACATAGCCATTTACATGTGTAATTACACATTCAAATTAAGTGTGAAGTGGCATGTCTGAGTTTGGAAAATCTGACCCTTAGTATTTTGATTAGTAGTACTTATTCCAGATCTGATAATCTGTAAAAAGATTGCTGTTACCTTGCTTACCTGATGTTATACACATAATTTATGAGAGGTAAATAATTTTGATATTTCTCAACATATGTATTTCTGTTTGTCCCAGGTCTATAATGTCCCTTGTCCCTTGTTTTTGAATGGTTACATATGGCAATAATATTGGGACTTGGAAAGTGGTATTTAACATATGACCTTAAACTAACATTAAACTCTTTAAAAACTACTTTTTTTGTCTTTTATATATATAATTTTATATTTTAAACATTCAAAAAGTGTATTCAAAATTGAGTTTTCAGATTAGCTATAAAACAGTCCTTAATGGAGTTTAGGACCTCAGTTAAAGGAGAGCAAAAATTGTGAACATATCTGATGGAAACACTATAACCAATGAACTTAAAGATTACCCTTGCTATAGTTAAATAAAGTCCTTTTTAGATTTTGCAGCATTCATTTAATGATTGGACAGATCTCTAAGCTACTAGGAGAAGCTGGGGACATTCAGTCTTCTCTGTCTCATTGCTGACTGATTGGTACAGGTCTCAGAAGAAAGTAACATACATTTAAATAGCACTTTTAATTCAAAAGGATTCTCAGGGCTTCCTGAAGTACATAGAAGACCAGTGATATACTGTTAAAGTAGAATTTGACAGCACTTTTTAAGATAGAGGGATCTTTTTGACCTGAACACTGGAACCCCCCAACTCTCATGAATAATGCTATGGAATCTTTAGTATCTGTATAAACAAGACCTCAGTGTGTTAGGTCTTGGGCAGAAATCTTCCTGGCCCTCGGTGGGCTCAAAATACCCAAACTGGACAGTTCATTTGTTCAGGAAAAAGAGTTGGATAGCCTTTGCAGTCTCCTGTACATGAAGCCAGGCTCTGCTGCAGTGTCTTTGTAGTATGTTGGAGGTAGGCTTGCGTGTGTACAGGGAAGCTGGATGGACCATGGCTAGGGAGTGTCTAAAGTACACCACATTTCCCATGTTTGTGGGGACTAGCTGCTCATTGTATAATGTACTCTGCTTCCAGGATTGGGTGGATTCGGTCCCTGCCCTTGTGTAGCTCCCTTGTACCAAGCCCTCCCTCCTACACAAGAGAGAAGGATTTTATCTTCACTTAATTTTGCTTCCATTTCCATACCTACACACTGTAATATACAACACAAATTATGTTTACATTTTTAGTCTGAATTAAACTCCAATTTTGTATTTGCATGGTATTGCCAGTTGTTAAATGTAGGAGATGCATGATTTTAAATAGATTACAAAAATGATTCTGAGGAAAATGCTAAGAAATGTCCAGATGAGTTGTGCAATGCTTCCATATTAGAATGAGTAGAGGATACTGGATTGTTACCACTTACTACGCTATAAACCCGTGTCAATAACTACTGCTTTACTACACATTTATTGTATTCTATAGGCTATCGATTACTATCTGAGGGCTTTAAGATCACTGGGCAAAAGAGAGATGCATCCAGCTGTTTGGGATTCTGTGAACTGGGAACTGTCCACTACCTATTTTACTATGGCAACTCTGCAGCAGGATTATGCACCATTATCTAGAAAGGCTCAGGAACAGGTAATGAAAGAGGATTTATAATAACATCCACTGAAACAAACATTCTTCAGGAGATTTCCATTACTTGCATCTGAAGAAGTGAGGTTCTTACCCACGAGAGCTTATGCTCCCAATACTTCTGTTAGTCTCAAAGGTGCCACAGGACCCTCTGTTGCTTTTTACATTCTTCAGGGTTCTTTTTTTTTAAAGAACAAGCAGAATGGTAGAGAACTCTTGCTCTGAGCCAAAGTGCATACATAATTTGTAAATCTTTATAGGATAAAAACTGTTGTGGAGCAGCTAACAGAATACGGCACATTAAGAAGAGTACACCGTAAATAGTTATATTGTCATATCTCCTTTTTTCTTTTGTAGAAACTAAAATATAAACTGCTATGTAAACATCTACAACCTGTTCTTTCATATTGGGTCTTCGTTATTTCAAAGTAAATGTTTTGACACTGCATCATGAAATCTTGTTTTTGTAGATAGAGAAGGAAGTTAGTGAGGCCATGATGAAATCTTTGAAATACTGTGATGTTGATACAGAGTCTGCACGACAACCCCTCTGCCAGTATCGGGCTGCAACTATTCACCACAGACTGGCTTCCATGTATCATAGTTGCTTGAGAAACCAGGTAATAGTCCAGAATTTTGAGATTTTTTTCTTGTGTGCTGTAATTTGTGCTCTGTATCTTCTTAGCATATGCGTAATATGACTCAGGTAGCACACAACCAGGATTCATCATCAAATTTGGTCCACTCACTAGCTTCCCCGGCTTGGGCTGGGTACTGACGAGGAGTGCAATGTGTGTGTGTATATGTGTGTATATATACTTCTGCTATATTATCCGAAATATATATATACACTTTATATATATATATATATATATATATATATATATAAATAAATATAATTATATATAAA